TAGAGGACTTAAAAGGAGAAATAGCTGCCTTGTAAGAATGGTTCAGTATTAGTGGCTGTTTAAGCAGTTTTTTCCATTCAGCTTTTGACAAAAATAGCTGTAAAGGAGCATGTGAACCTCAGAGCATGCAGTCTATTTTTTGATACATCTTGGCTTACATTTGTCAGCTTTAGATTCTCTAGTATGGCACATTTAGTCTGTGCAAAATGTAGAGTACAAGAGATTGGTTTCTTGGACCAAAAAATCCTTTTGAGTTCACTCCTGAAAGGTGATGATTGTTTCAGTGATATGACATCACCTGCTCAAAGCAAGTGGTTTGAATCAATAACTTTTCACTTTCACTGCTGATTGTATTCTGTCTGATTTACTATTAAGTTCATTCACTCAGTTCTTCTGTTTGGGAGCTAACGCTAAGATTTTGTATGTACCTTATGCTTTTTCCCATCAATCAGGCATGCACCTTACATTTTTGGCTCCAATATAGGGAAGATGATTAGCTTGTTCAGGTGGATCCAGTGAGCTTTTAAACCTCCTGTGAGACCTCTTCTCTTGCCAACCTTTTCTACAAAAACCACTAACCTAGTTTCAATACACTATCTTTGCATTGCTCCTGAAAACATTTTTCCACAACCTGCAGGCTGCAACTAATTCCCTAGTATGCAGACTATTGACTTTATCTGGGAACATCAAAGCACTGCAGTCAGTGTGCTGATTCTGTGCCTTTCTATCTAGTACCTACAACGTAAGGTTCCTTTCAGCAGCATACCAAGTGGTATCTGGGAATCTGATAAATATAATATAGTATTTGAATTGATTCCAGCTTCTGTGCCTAGCAATAATTTGGTCTTTTGTCTATGCCAACAAAATGCAAGGGGAATCTTGCTTTTTTCAATCGGGCATTCAGTAAAGTATTCACATAGAGGGATTTGGCTTCTCTCCTTTGAGTGTGCTGCTGCTTTTCACTTGCAAGTACTTGATGCATATATTTGAATATTGCAATGAGGAAAAACCTGGATCCTCAGTGTTAGGAAGACAAAGTGCTATTTCTAGTGTCATACTGTTATACCTGGCTAGACACAGCATGGCACAGCACTTAAAATGGACACTTGTACAAGAGGTAAGTTACAGTGACAATGTATATACAGTTCAGCGTGCCTCACACTTGCCATGGAAGGAGCATCTTGCAATGAAAAGATTTTGCTAGAAGAATTTTAATGCCAGTTATTTAATTTTTTGTGATGTCTTCCTTAGGGCACTGACTTCAACAAAGTAAATTAATATCTTTTAAGTGGCTTCAGAGCCTCTCAAATATAATTATAAAATTGTGATTTTTAACTGAGCTATGATTTGAACCAGTGACACAAAAGAAAAAAAAATTCATTGTAATAACCAGACTTTTGTATATGCTGTTCTCATATTGTTTCCATGGGTCATTGTTGGTTACCTTTTTAGATACGATTCTTTGTGCTTCTTGTATATCTTAAAGCTTGAAAGAAAATTATAGCTATTCAGAGATGCACAGCTGGTTTAGTTACATGTGGAAATTCACTACTTCCATTTCTTTGGCTCCTAATCCTTGAAGAGGATGTATGGATAGATACAAAATCTCTGCTTATGTTTGATATTCCTCTTTTTTTTTAAATACATATGTTGATCCTTTAGCATACCTACCAGTTTATAAAACCACAGGCTAGCGGTTCTCAAGCCACTGAACCTTCTTGTAGAACTTGTCCCAGGGAAATCATGTGTTTGTGAATCTTGCTTTATTGCAGTTCCGCAGTCCAGTGCTAACTGCTTATCTTTGTCTCATGGACTTACAGTTTGGGAACCTCCTCCCTGAGGCCCTAGGTGTGAAACCTGGTTTCATCACTGGGGAAAAGAGAGGAAGAGGTTGTTTTGTTTGGTTCGCTGTGGTTAGGGTTTGCTAACTTCTCAGGAAGTAACCTCAGTTTTCTCTTTTCTCACCACTGAGCTGTTCAGTTTACAGTGGTTACTTTTACTCATGTAAAAGTAACATCCTTTCACATTATTCTGTGTTAACATATGGGATCAAAGACTGAAAAAGAATATAGAGAGATCCTCTCAAAAAAGTCCCTGTGACAACTAGAATTTGCACAGTATCTTTGACTTGTGGCTCCAGCTACTTTTTTTCCTTTTCCTGAAAAAATAATAGTTTTTATAAAATACAAAATAATAAGAATCTGTGCTTGTTTAACTGGTACAGTTAAACTGCAGCGTATGCAAGGATCAGGTCTCACTGCCCTACATGCAATGTGCCATTCCTAGTTTGTGCGCGAATTCATCATTCATACTCTGGTTGTGCTGTCTCCTAACTGACTTTGGTGCTGCTGGTTTTGCTACCTCCTTGAGATTAGCCTTACTGACTCGAATTAGAAGACAAAGCTGAATCAAACCTTCCCTCCTCGCCCCCTCCTCCAATTAGCATAGTAAAACCTAGCAAGAGGAATACAGGCTTTTTCCCATGGACTGCTGTGCTCTGGTGCTTGTGCTGAGCATTCGGCTAAATCTTCAGTAAGATAAAGTAAAATACGTTGCACAAGGGGAAATAAATCTTGTTTTATAATGTGGGGTTTCAGACCAGTCCTGCTTTCTCTGGTTCATAAGAGGTTGCTGTACCAAGAGAATCATTTCCCTTTGTCATGTGCTGACTCCTCTTGAACTCCTCTGTCGCTGTAGTTCTGCAGACTGCTGCAGAATGACTCTTCTTGAATCATATTTGCATATCATTTCCTTTCATCACAGGCTGCTTGCTGGAAAATCAGCTCTCCTGTGTCTTGTATTGGTTGTTTGCTTTCACCCTTAAAGAAAGATGGTTTAGATTTGTTCCATGTCTGCTTTGACCTTGTGTTGATAGTTTTTGTACTGGGTCTGTACATCATCTCCCTCTTTCTGGCTATGTCCCAAACTGTATTTATATTTACAGGAGTTATCTAGCATTTAGCTGTAAAAGTGGCTTTTCCCTAGTCCTTTCTGAGACCAACATTAGCAAAAAGTTTGTTACCTTTTCTTTGGAAAGTCCAGACTCAAATTTTAATCTGATGTTGTTTACCTGAGTATGAATCTCACCTCAGAGAGATCACCGATCTGTTTTTCACATGTGCTTTATGACAGAGGAAGGTTTTTTTGCCTACCATTGACCCAAAAGAATTCAACAGAACAAACCTGGAATTCTTCTGCTTCAGCTCCTTCATTATGTATTCATGCTGTATTTTTATTTAACATTAGAAAATATAAGTCTGATTCCATTCACAGGGATCCTGCCAGAGTGTCTGTACTCACTTTCTGTTGGATATAAAGTACATACTGTAAAGATAACAGAGTGTGTCTGTGTATGCAGTTATGTCACTGATGGGGGAGGTGTCCGTATATATATCTGGTGGATGTAGTGCTGAGACCAGTAATACAGGAGATACTGTTTGTTTGTTTACAATAGAAAGCTACTGCTATTTTGACATGTCTGTTTGATCTCCTATTACAGAACACTTATAGCACTATAAAAGCACTTGATCTGCATGTACTTATTCTGGTAATAAAAATACCATAAAATCTTACTATGAGTCATTTTATGTGTATATAGCTTTGTCTATACTCAGCTTTTAAAAACACAACTGCTTAAAAAAAACCCACAAATTAGTCATATGATCATCAGTAAAATGTCTAAGTACCTATTAGAGTTTATAATGCATGGTCCATGGATTAAATTACTTACAGCAGACATTTATGCTTTATTTGAGATTCTGGATTAAATCTCAAAATGCCCAGAAAATTCCCTGCAGTATTAGCCCAACTCCAGATTCTCACTGTTCTAGCCA